GAGTTCTCTGCCAACTCCTCAGCTAAAGTGGTTAAACCTTGCAATGCCTTAGTGGTGGTTCTACCTGGGACTGTGCTGCTGGGCAACATTTCATCAAGGGATTTTGAGGACTTAAAACAATATGAGAGAAGGAGGGGAAGAGTTGACCGACGCATTGACAAATTAAAAAAAGGGCAGTCCCCTTATTAAGTACAGATACAGAGACCCAAAAGTAATGATAAATTGTCCATTTAAAGCTTCAGAAGTCTCTTCTCATACTGCTATCTGACACTCCGGACATCATCTGGTAAAGCCTTCTTGTCTAAGTGCTGTTCAAACAGTGTCCAGCGGACTCTCCTGCAGAGATCTTCCTTCTTGTATCCACTCTCCTACAAGATTGATCTGATTTCTTTAGTCCAGAGGTGTCTGCAATGGGCCACTTAATCAGGAAGAATTCCATCTCACAAAACTCCTTTGCCCAATATATTGGCTCTCGTGGTCTGCTGGCAGCTTCCCCAATCCCCTGGACTTCCAAGATCAGGAGTTCAGTTGGGAAAGGCTCAACTCACCGAGACCACTGAAATACAGCGGGAGCGCTCTTCCTGGGATGTCTTATCTTGTCCCTTCCAAAGTCTAGATTGAGCACCACATTGGGCGCCAAATCATTAGAAATATGCTTGACACCAAAAATTTAGTATCAAGAAAGTTTATTACAGAGAAAGTCCAGAGGATTTAGACATTTCTGGCCAGAAGCGGGCTCCACCCCTTTTTAGGAGGGGTGGGCTCTATTCTAATTTTTAAGGAAGTATTTTCTTCAGTAGTCTTTTGGACTTCCTTTTCCATTTGGGCAGTTTTGCTTTTTAGGGCATTCTTCTCCTCATTGGCTTTTTGGACCTCTTTTGTCATTTGGGTTAGGCTATTTTTTAAGGTGTTATTTTCTTCAGTATTTTTTTGAGTCTCCTTTAGCAAGCTGTTGACTTGTTTTTCATGATTTTCTTGCATCACTCTCATTTCTCTTCCCAGTTTTTCTTCTTCTCTTACTTGCTTCTCAAAATCCCTTTTGAGCTCTTCCAAGGCCTGGGACTGATTCATATTTTTCTTGGAGGCTTTGCATGTAGGAGCTGTGACTTTGTTGTCTTTTTCTGGTTGTATATTTTGATCTTCTTTGTTGCCAAAGTAAGATAATATAGTCTGACTCTTTTTGTGCTGCTTGCTCATGATCCCAGCCAATTACCTGAGTTTTAAACTCTTTGTTAAGGTAAGAGTCTGCTTCCAATGTGGAGAATGTACTGTCCCAAGCTTCGGGGGGTTTGTACAGCTGTTTTCAGAGATACTTGTAGGGACCTGTAAATTTTCAGTTCTTCCGAGGTGGTATGATCAAGGGTGAGGTGTTTACTCCTTTCCTGGCCTGTGCTGTGGTCTATGAGTGACCACAAGCATTCCTTTCTCTTCTGGAACTATGAGGAGGGTTTCCTTTTCACAGCCAGTACAAGCTCCACCACACCAGCACTCCTCTTTGCCCAAGGATTGCAGCCCCAGAACTGTGACCGAGATCTAAGCATTGCCTTGGCACTGGAAAAGCGTTCCCTGAAGTCCCCCTGTGATCAGCCACTTGATTCCTGCTCGGTCTGTGGGCCGGAAGCTCAGGATGCAGCCACCGCCCCAGCGCCCAGACTCTGAGCTCTGGAACTGGCTTTGAGACCTAGCTTCTCTCTCACTGCAGAAACAGACTTTTCCCACTGACCTTCTAAGTTGTCTTTGGCATTCTTGGGTGGGGAATCTGGAAACCGCCATAGCTGCCCGTGATTCAGTCCTCTGAGGCCTGCTCCAGGCTCACTGTGGTGTGCACACCCATGCTGAACTGTGCTCCTCTACCTGCCTGGTATGATATACCTTTCTGATTAACCATTCAGGTTGTTTTGGGCTGGAAATTTGCTTCACTCTGTCTTTTTGTGGGTTCTTCTGCTTTAGAATTTGCTTAGAGCCATTTTTTATAGGTATTTGAAAGGGTTAGGGGGAGAGCTCAAGCAAGTCACTGCTTTCACTTTGCCATCTTGGCTCCGCCTCCCATTTCTCTTAAAATTTTAAGAGAAGCTTAATTTTTTTTATTAGCATGGAAATAGAAAATCCCCCAGCAATTGTGATTTCATTTGGTACCTTTTGTAATTATGTTGAAGCAGTTGAGTACTTACCTGCATTATAATTTTTTGTTTCTTCATTGATTAAAAAAAAATTTTCCCCCCATGAAGTTAAAAAAACAAAACCTTTGATTTTTGTACTGTTGGGGCTTTTTTTTTGGGGGGGGGGAAGAAGGTGAAAGAATTTTTAAAACTCTAGGAGAACAATAAAAATTGCTAAAATATCCTGCTTCCCAATTTTCTTTTTTTTTCTTTTATTTAGTATTTTATTTTTCCCCAGTTACATATAAAAACAATTTTTAACATTCATTTTTAAAACTTTCAATTCCACATTAGTGCATTGTTGGTGGAGTTGTGAACTGATCCAGCCATTTTTGAGAGCAATTTGGAACTATGCCCAAAGAGCTATAAAAATGTGCATACCCTTTAATACAGCAATACCACTAATAGGGCTGTATCCCAAAGAGATCATAAAAATGGGAAAAAAACCCCACACGTACAAAAATATTTATAGCAGCTCTTTCTGTGGTGGCAAAGAATTGGAAATTGGGGAGACGCCCATCAACTGGGGAATGACTGAACAAGTTGTGGTATATGAATGCAGTGAAATACTATTACTTGCCACGTTGTGTGATGACTAACTTTGACAGACTTAGCTCTTCTCAGCAATACAAGGACCTAAGACATCTCCAAAAGTCTCATGATGGAAAATGCTCTCCACATCCAGAGAAACAATATAGTTTGAATACAGATTGATTGAGGCATACTATTTGTTCTTTTTTTTCTTCTGTTTTGTTTTGTTTCTTCTTTGTTGTGGTTCCTCCTATTGGTTCTAATTCTTCTTTACAACACAACTAATGAGAAAATATTAAAAAAAAAACCTTTGAGTTCCAAATTCTTTCCTTTCCCGCCCCCACCCCCTCCATTAAGAAGGCAAGCAGTTCAATATAGTTTATACGAGTGTAGTCTTGTAAAACATATCCCTAATAGTCATGTTATGAAAGAAAACATAGACAAAAAAAAAACCTTCAAGAAAAAAAAAGTAAAAAATATATTCAGACACCATCAGTTCTTTCTCTGGGGATGGATAGCATTTTTCATCATAAATCCTTAAAAGTTGCCTTGGATCATTGTATTGCTGAGAATAGCTAGGTCATTCACTTCTGATCATTTTACAGTATTGCTGTTACTTTCTACACAGCGCATTTACTTTGCATCGGCTCATGCAAGTCTTTTCAAGTTTTTCTGAGAGCGTCCTGCTTATCATTTCTTGTAGTACTGTAGTATTCGTACCATCATAATCACATAGCACAACTTGTTCAGCCATTCCCCAATTGATGGGCTTCCCCTCAACTTTTAATTCCAGGTTTCTTTTTTCTAGAACATGAAGATTATTGTGTTAATCAACCCAAGTTTGGTGGGTTATTTTTGCGTTTGTGGGTTGAAATTTGTTTATATGACATGTCCATGAATGCAGTAGACCAAATTCTATTTTGTCATAGGCATGGGAATCATTAAACTTTAGTCAGTATCATACAAAACATGTGATATAGGGACTTAAAGTGATTATATACCAACTGAAATTACATTCCTTCTTATTTTTTTTAATTTACATAGCACTTTATAATTTATAAAGAGTTTTCCTCACAACAATCCTATTGAAATTTTTAGTAGAAGTTTTAATCTCTGAATTTTACAGATGAGAAAACTGAGATTTGATTCAGAGAGATTAAGCAAAAATACTCATGGTCACAGAGCTGTTAAATGACACTGATAAGACCTGTACTCTCTTGAATGTTCTGATTCCACTATACAACCCTGTCTCTCATATATGGAAGATAATAAAAATGTTGAAAGTAAAAGTTATTATTTTTTCATTGTGAATGGTGACACTGCCCCAGAAGGCAAACCACATTTTCATTGAGTCAGACTCTGTGTGTGGCTTACATCCTTTATATTAATGCGGTCATCATTGAATTATTATTTGTCATTCCAAAATCTGCATGTGTAAAATGCAGAGACTCTAAACAGTAGACTATTGCCTCATTTCTTTTCTCTTATCATAGTTCAGTTGTAAATCACAAATTTGTCATAAATTTAAATAGTGAAAAAACAGACATGTGGTTTGGTAATTGTTATCTTCCTATTTGCTTTTTGGTAATAGTGTTGTCTGTGACCTTTCACATTCTTTCCCTTTTGCCCGTGTTTTCCCATATGAATCAGGACTTCATATTCTGTTCCTGGCTCTGCCACTATGTCCTGGTATAATCTTGGGGAAGTCATATCATTTCCTGGGTATCCTCATTTGTAAGATAAGGGATTTGGTGCTCTTTAACCTCCACCCCCAACATCCACTTTTTGTTCTGGTGTAAATTTTTTGTTATTCTTAATGGGCTCTCAATAAATGTAGGTTATCTGTAGCTCTGTTCCATTTGTGGCTGGTAGCAATTTACATTAACTAAATAAATTACCTTTGAAATACTTCTGATGATTAACTTTGAGATAAACAGATGGTATTGAAATGTCCATTTTCCATGTCTTGTTTATTATAATATTTATGCTGGCTGCATCACAGAGTTGTTGTGAGGATTACTCGAAATAATGTTTGTGTCTCACGTGCTTTGTAACTGAAGTTCTATACAAATTTGAGTTATTATTGTTGTTTGGCTGTTTTATTTCCCTTCCTACTGCTTCTTTTATTGATAAACTTCCTTTGGTTTCTTCTAGTTGTTCCAAGGATAATAGGTACCTTATCACCAGAGAGATGAATGTTGGGAAGTGAGCTTTTTGGCCTCAATTTGAAATGATCCTTACTTGGTTCGTTTGGTTGTTTTGCTCCTACATTATACAGAATCTTGGAAAACTCTTTTTCTTTTCTTCTAGAAGGGCCAACCTGGTATCACTCAGTGGGTAACAGCATGCAGCCAATTGACACCCTTATTTCTTTCCCAAAGACAGTGGCTCCAGACATCCTTTGGCATTTTCCAGGTAAGATTTGTTGTTCTCCTGTTGGTATGCAAACCTTAGTGTTTGTGTCCAAATGTCATGTATTTATAGATTAGTCAACCAAATCCTGTGATGTGAATACCTCATGGGGCCCCTTTTAGACTTCTCTGATGCCAGCCAGCCCAGGACTCTTTCCTATAGTGTGGTGTCTTGGGTGGTGCTGCTAATAAATACCCCAGCCCTGGATCTTCCATCACCCAGCTCGAGAGACCGGGCTACAGTCTGATGACTTTTATTATTAGGAATTCCTTCCAGATATTCAGTTGAGAATCTACTTTTCTGCTTCATCTCACTGATGCAGCTGCTTAGGAGCTAAGATTTTAAAAGGGCAAGGAAATCTAAAAGTGCTTCATTCTACATGAGAACCAGCTAAAACCAAATTTAGTGTAGTGCAGTGTTTAAAGATGCAGGCTCCCTTCCATGGAGGGTAAAACAATCTTTTCTTCCATGAGCCCTGGGTATTTATTTACAATGAAGTCCTGGCATATTGTAATTCGCTGTCCCGCTACATATATAGGCAGTCAATCTTAGACTCACAGAACCAGAAGTGGAGAGGCCACAGAGGCCATTTTGTCCACTCTACTCTTTTTTGGACTGTTTTTTTTCCTTCCCTCCCCTCGCCTTTCCTCTCCTGTCCTGTCCTTTCTTCCAGATAAGGAAACTGAGGCCCAAGGAAGTTAGGTGATTTGCCCAGCTTTGCGCCGGTACTAAGTGTCAGGTGGGATTTAAACCCAGGCTCTTGGGCTCTAGAGCCAGTGTGCTTCCCTTGTTCCACACTGCCCCCGTTCTTCACTTGCAGAGAGTGCACTTGCCAGCAACACTTAGTGGTTGTTGCAGCATAGGCCAGTCAGTTAGCCTGTGTGCCTCAGTTTATTCATCTGTAAAATGCCAGTAATCCCTGCATTACTTACCTCACAGGGTTTGTGTGAGGAAAGCACTTTGCACACCTGAAAGTGAGTCATGATGAAGATGGTGTTGAAGGGGTTATCTTTCCAAAGTTCTGATTGTAAGTCAATTTGAAACTGGCAAATAGAAGCATGTGTTTAAGTGGGAGTTAGTTTCCTGGCCTCTAGCTTCCAAAGCCCTTTTTGCCCTTATTGTAGTCGAACTATAAATTGGGACCTTCTCCCTCTTTGTTAATTGAAATTAGCAGTCAAGGTGGTGGTAATGTTGTGTAGTAGACATCTAGTCTTAGAGCTAGGAAGGCCTGGGTTCAGGTCCTGCCTCTGACACCTTGGCTTTGTGACCCTGGGCAAGTCACTTTTTCTTTCACAACCACCAACAATTCTCTTTAAGATTTTAAAGTTCCTGGGCAGCTAGGTGGTGCAATGGATAGAGCACCAGCCCTGAAGTTAGGAGGACCTGAGTTCAAATCTTGCCTCAGACCAAACACTTGACACTTATTAGCTGTGTGACCCAATTGCCTTAAAAAAAAAAAGATTTTTGTGTTCCAGAGTACATCTTAATCTACATTGGTAGAGGAGGTTAGCTCAGTGGGAGTTACATAAACCAGTCAAGTTCAGTTAGAAAAAAATCAGGATTATGTGTATTCATTGAAAATTCTAACGTTTACACAAGGTATTCACTAAAGGTGACATCTCAAACTAATGAAGAAATTGAGGCCTGCTGGGTATAAGTGACTTGCCCAGGATCATAAGAATTTTTTGGAATAAGTTTTGGAGCTGGAGCTCAGTTTTTCTGACCTCCAGGTCCATATCTCTCCCCACCACATCATACTACCTCTATAAACAAACAAACAAAAGACATATAATGTGTGTGTGTGTAGACAGTGGTGAGACATCAGAAGCAGAGTAGGAAGATAGTAACTCGAATGAACTCGGGTTCTGCCGATTAACCTACTCCTTGCTACTCTTGCCAGTTGTTTGATAACAGATACTGTTCTTTTCCCTTTCTCTTCTATGTATCCAAAGCTTATCTTTCCATCAAGGCCTGCTTCATCAGTTCCCTAGAGACTCATGTACACTGCTCTCATTTCACTGAATTTCTATTGAACCCACTGTCACAGTCGCACATTTAGAAGGAGTCTATATAAAGTGCTTTTCAAACTTTAAAGCAATGTATAAATATCTGTGATTAGATGGTGATGATGATGCAGCAGCTTTTATGTGAAGAACTCTAGTGAGGGGGGAAACCCACTTCCTCTGGGAGATAGCCCACTCCATTTTAGGAAGGCTATTAAATGTTAGGATTTTTCCCCTACATTAAGCCTAAATTTGCCTTACAACTTCCCCCAACTGGTCCTAGTTCAGTCAGTCAACAAGTATTTATTAAGGGCTCTTATTCTGTGGCAGGCAGGCAGTCAGGCACTGTATCAGGTGCTGGGGATTCAAAGACAAAAGTAAAACATTCCTTGATCACAAGAAGCTTAAATTCTATTAGGGAGAACATCTTGTGTACACATAAAAAGAAACTACAAGGTAGTTTTGGGAGGGAGGACCCCAGCACTTAGGGAGATCAGAAAAAAGCTTTGTGGAGAAGCTGACACTTTAGCCAGATTTTGAAGGAAGTAAGAAATTCCGTGAGGGAGAGTTAAGGAGAGAGTACGTTGTAGGCATGAGAGATGGTCAATTAAAAAGCATTGAGTCCCATATATGAAGAACAGCAAGGAGGACAGTTTGGCTTAACCAGAGAATGTAGTTAAGTCAACAAGTATTAATAAATGCCTACTATGTTTCATGTACCAGTTTGCTAAGTGCTGTGTGGAAATAATGTAATGAGACTGAAAAGGTAGATAATGACCAAATTGTGATGGGCTTCATCAGTCATGCAGAGGAATTTATATTTTCTCCTAGAAGCAATAGGGAGCCACTGGAGTTTGAATAGCAGAGTTATATGAAGAGATTTGTACTTAAAGAAAATCACTTTGCCATCCTGTCCTACAGGAAAGTAGAAGGAGAAAGGAATAAGAGAAGGAGGTGTGATAGAAGAGAGGGCAGATTAGGGGAAGGGGTATTCAGAATTCCCGCTGTCTTGGGGTGGGGGGAGGAGCGAGATGGGAAGAAAATTTGGAACTCAAAATCTTGTGGAAGTGAATGTTGAAAACTAAAAATAAGTAAATTAATAAATGTTTAAAAAAATCACTTTGACAGCTGTGTGGAGAATGAATTGGAGAAGGGGAGAGACATGAGGTGGGGAGACCAATTAGGAGATTATTGAAATAGTCCAGGTAAGAGGTGGTTGAGATCCTAAACGAGACTGGTGACTTGAGTAGCGAGGATTCTGATATAAGATGCTATTGAGAGAAATGACAAGATTTGGCAACTGATTGGTGTGAGTGTGAGTGAAAGTGAGGAATTGAGGATAACACTGGGGTTTTGTACCATGGTAACTGAGAAAGGTGGTGGTGTCCTTGACAGAAATAGGGGAAATTGGAAGATAGGTTTGGCTTTTGGGGGGAAGTTCTCTTTGAGACATGTTAATCTCTTTTAGATTTTCTGGGACATGCAGTTTGTTTTTGGGGGAACATCCAGTTTGAAATGTCCGATAGTCCACCAGTGATATAAGACTGATTCTTAGAGCAGAGACTAGATGTGTAGATCTCTAAGTCATCTGCATAGGGCTGACAGTTAAACCACTGGAGCTGATGAGGTCACCACATTAGAGTGTATAGAGAGAGAAGAGAAGAGGTATTAGGATAGAGCCTTTCTTTAAACCCACAGTCAAGGAATGTAATATGGAGGATAAGCTGATAAATGAGACTGGAATAAGCGATCACCTACAATTGAACCTGGTGGTTTAGATCAGTGCTTTCTTAAACTGTGGGTCGTGACCCCATATGGGGTTGAGTAACTAAATGTGGGGGTTGTGAAAAATTTGGCAACAGTAAAAGGTTTTTGAATGTGCAGTTACCAGAAATTAATTCAAAATCAAATACGTCATGAATCTCAGATGTTTCTGGCAGCTCTTGCCCGTGTTGCACCATGTGACTTCACTCCAGCCTTGGTTCTGAGCACATAACATGCATGCTTTGCACTGCATGTGCCGTCATGCTACACAGTGCCAATGAATGCTGCCAGAAACGCCTCAGCTCAGATTCAAGACTATTGTATGTTATGAATTGCAGTGTTTTTACTGTACATACAAAATTGTTAAATGAACTTTGGCTTGAGATTAGGACAGAATTTCCAACAATTTCTGAAATGGCCCTAAACATACTTCTGCTATTTTGTACTACATATTTATGTGGAGTGGCATTCCTAGCATTGATGATTATAAAATCAAAATATCAGTCAACTCTGGAAAACTTTGAAGATGCTCCACGTCCTACAGGATCAAATATTCCACCAATATTTAATTCTTTATGTAAAGATAAACAAGCACATCCATCTCATTAGTATGCAAATTTGCTTTCAACTTTAATAAATAGCAAAATTATATATGTACCAAAGAATTGTTTTAAAATAAATTTCTTTATGATTTATCAGTAAATGTTTGATTTGTATGCTTATTTTGTATACTTATATACCCAGGGTTGTATAAAAATTTTTTGGGCGAAAAGGGGTTGTGAATGGAAAAAGTTTAAGGAGCCCTGCTCTGGATGTGGTCTGACAAAGGCAGAGTATACTTGTCTTACTGTAACCTATGGTGGTGTCTCCTCACATCTCCCCCAGGTTGTACTTTTTTTTTTTTAAAGGCAGTTGGGGGTTAAGTGACTTGCCCAGGGTCGCACAGCTAGTAAATGTCAGGTATTTGGTCTGAGGCCGGATTTGAACTCAGGTCCTCCAGATTTCAGGGCTCGTGTTCTGTCCATTGCACCACCTAGCTGCCCCCCCCCCGTTGTACTTTTAAGGTTGATTTCTGAACTCAAATGTATGACTTTACTTTTATTCCTGGTTTTTATTTTTAAATTTATTTTAACATTCTTTCCTTTTTAAATTTTGAGTTTCAGATTCTTTCCTCTTTCCTTCTCACCCTTCCTCACACACTGAGAAAGTAGCAAAATGATATCAATTATACTTGTGAAATCATGCAAAACATTGCAAAAATAAAAAAAAGTGTGGAAATTATACTTCAATTTGTGATCAGTTTGTCAGTTCTCTCTCTGGAGGTGGATAACATTTTTTTCCTCATGATTCCTCTTGTATCATTGTATTGATCAGAGTAGCCAAATTTTTGACAGTTGATTGTCATTATAACATTGCTGTTACTGTGAACAGTGATCTCCTAGTTCTTCTCACTTCACTTTGCATCAGTTCATTTAGGTCTTTCCATGTTGTTGTTGTTGTTGTTTTTTCTGAAACCACCTCTCTTGTCATTTCCCAGAGCACAGTAGTATTCCATCACAATCATACATCCCAACTTGTTCAAACATTCCCCAGGTGATGCACATCCCCTCAAAATCTCCAATTCTTTGTTACCACAAAAAGAGCTGCTGTAAATATTTTTGTACATATAGGTTCTTTTCCTTTTTCTTTGATCTCTTTGGATTACAGACCTAGTAGTGGTATTGCTGGGTCAAAGGAAACATACAGTTTTAGAGCATAGTTCCAAATTATTCTCCAGAATGGGTGAACTAGTTCAGAACTCTACCATCAGTTTGTTAGTGTTCCTATTTTTCCCCAACTGTTCCAACATTTATCATTTCTGATAGGTCTAAAGTAGTAGAGCTGTTTTAATTTTCCTTTCTCTAATCACTAATAATTTAGAGTATTTTTTCATATAGCTGTAGATAGCTTTGATTTCTTCTTCTGAAAACTGCCCGTTTATATCCCTATTAAATTTCTTCTTATTTGATTCAAACCAACATTGTAGTGAGTCAGTGGTTCATGAGATGTTATAAATTCAGCAGAAATTTATTAAGTAACTAACTATGTATTAAGTACCTGGAATACAGATATGAAACATGACATAGGTCCTGAACTCAAAGAGCTTATTGTCTACTATATTATATTTCCACTTTTTTGAGTTTCATCACCATCTGAATAGCTCTTTGAGGACAGACTGTCTTTTATACTTTCTTAGTATTGCTCAGAGGGCCTAGCAAAGTGCTGTGCACATAGTTCATGCTCAGCAAATACTTATTGATTAATAATCTCTTTTATGATATGATTTAGCAATAGATTTATTCTTACATTTGGATTTTGGGTGAATATGTGAAGAGAAGCACTCTCATTTTTAAGTTTGGCTCCAGTTAATAAAATTCCTGACTATCCACTTTTCCTCCTAAATTGTCAAGACACCTTCAAGCACTGTATCTGTCCTGTTTTACTTTGCCTCTATGTCTCTTCTCTTTCAGTTGTCTTCTGTATTAGCTGTATGACATTTCTGTGAATATGCTCAGTGGTTCCAGATTTGGGTGTATCAAAGACATTTAAAGATGAATGCTTTCCTTTAAGGGTTGAGATAGAAACATTGTGTGGTAGTGGAAGGTTAGAAGGAAAAATAAATAAATGTACATATATGAACGTAAAAACTAAGTGTTGTCCATTTTATACTTACCATCTGCTATACTTAACATGGTGTTAGAGAAATGTCAGTTCATGAATAATGATAGGATGGGGTAGGGTGGTACAGCCACAGCAGGAATCTGTTGGCTACTAGTGGAGATGCTTGGGGAGACAGGCCATTTAACCTAATGGAAGAGAACATAGCCAAAACCCAAGCTAGGTAGAACCACTATTAGTTGTGGTCTTTGAACCTGTTTGAGTGCTTTGTGCCCTAGTTGGACCATTAAATTGATGTATGTGATGTAATGTGAGGTGTTCCGTGTTTAGTCTGTCCTTTACAAAGCCTGTTTGATACTCATGAATTAAAGCATAGAAGTCCTTGGGACAGACCAGAAGAATCCTGACTAATTTTTTAATAACTATGTTTAGAAGAATAGTAATAGGTGATCTCCACAAATGAAAATTCCTTCCTTCTACCCCCCCCAGGTGAAGATTAAAGAGAGGAGCAGTATTTTCATTCTAAATATTCTATTCCTCTTGGACTGTTAACTATTCAGATCCCAAGGGAGGAAATTCTGACCTGAATTTTTTTTCCCCTGGTGTTAAGATTAGTACTTTTCAAAATGTCTATTCCTGATCCTTACCTGCATTAAATTCTGGAACCCTGGGCTTGATCCTTCTGATTTTCCTGCCACTGCTGGCAATTATCTCTATGTGTATGACTCAGAATTATAAATCCAACCCAACCCTCACCTATAATCCTGTATCATCAGTTGAGCATCAGATATTTCCAAATGGATATTTCATAGAGATCATAAACTCAGCATGCCCATGTTGTATTCTTAGCAGCTTCTCCCACCTGGCATTTTACTTCCATCTCTGTGTCTTTGTACAAGTTGCCTCCCGTGCTTGGAAGGCACTTCCTCCCCAAACATGTTCCTTAGAGTCCCTAGATTCCTTCTGAGCTCAGCACAGGAGTCACTTCCTACATTTGACCTTTTGGAATACCCCATGCTGCTAATGCCTATTCCTGCCTTCCAAATTACCTTACATTATTTGCTTCTAAGTATGTATGTTCTTTTCTTGAATAGAATGAAAGTATCTTGAGACCAATTTTTGGCTTTCTCTCTCCTACAGCAGTGTCTGGCACATGATAGATACTAATCAGTCCTCTTTTGTTGGTTTATTGGTAGTGAGCAGAGATATACTCCAGAGCTTCCATCCCTGACCAGTGTAGGAATGGCTCTGTGCAGAAGCCATTTAACATTAGGAGTGAAGACTTAAGAGTTGTTCATTTCTTTGATCATTTTCTTCCAGTGGTCCCAGAAGAGCCTTTCCCAAGTGGATGGTGTATCAGAACAGATCATTGGAATAGGCCCACAGCCAAACAGGACATATCATACTACAGTCCAGGTGAGTAGTCACATATATATATTGTAGTGTTCTGCTTTAAAATCCAAAATACTGACATAGTCGTGTACCATTGGAAAAATTCTTTAATGGAGGATTATGATAAATAAAGGAATCTGCTCTTTATTTTTGACTGGGCATACTACTTGTCTTTTAGAAAATCCATATTCATTTGTAGAGACTGTAGATTTTTATCAGAAATCTTTACCATTTTGCCAAATACAATTTTTTCGCTACTTTGAAATTTTATTTCTGTAAGTGTATAGGTTCTTTTAATAAATTATGTGATGGTGACAGAGGCAGCTGGGTTGCACAGTGGATAGAGCACTGGACCTTGAGTCAGGAATACTTGAATCCAAATCTAGCCTCAGACACTTACTAGCTGTATGATTTTGGGCAAGTCACTTAACCTCTGTCTGCCTCAGTTTCCTGAGCTTCAAATGGGGATAATAATAGCACCTACTTCCCAAGGTTGTTGTGAAGATCAAATGAAATAATATTTGTAAAATGCTTAGCACAATACCTGGCATATGGCTTCTTCCTGTCCTCCTTCCCTTCCTCTCCTCACTTCTATTGAATAGTTTTTAAAATACTTTTTGGCTGTCTTAAAAATTATTTCCCTGTCCATTTTTTTTATGCCAGTAAACATAACATTCTTGCTCTGAGAATTGTTGATTGGGAACTGGGGTTAAGATTCTCTCTTTGGAGAACTCCCTTCTGTGGAGCTTTCCAATCCTGTTCGAAAGAGCCTTGTTTGTTATTGTTCCTGGGGCGACGGGAGGGGTGGCGGGAGGGAGGCAGATGGATATACAGTGTTTGGAGGACATTCTTCAGATATCTACACGTTTCGGACAGGTGCACTGGATGTTGGATGCCAAAGAAATGAGAATTTAAAACCTAGGCTTGGAAAGTCAAAAAAACTCCCAGCAGAATTTGGTTGGAAGAACAAAAGCTTTTTTTTCCCCCCTCCACCTTAATGTTTTCCCTTTTCTTTGCTCAAACAGCTTCTAAATTCTAAGGACTCCTCAAAACCCATTGAAGAGAAGGTTGGTGCCCTTACAAAGATAATAGAAGCCATGGGATTCACAGGACCATTGAAATACAGTAGATGGGTAAAGTCCTTCAAAATTTGCTTTGTATTTGACTTTCTGCTCCATCATAGTTTTGTCTTTTTTGCTTTCTAGGTATTGCTTCTCTAGCCAGTCTTTCATACTTTTTCTGTTTCCCTGTCTTTCTCCACCATTCAAGTAAGTTAGGTCTTAAACATGTGGGTTATTGAGTACATGGGATGGAAACATTTCATTTAGAGTCTCCCATGGAAATGTCTTCCTGCTACATGTGTAGGAAGCCTGGTGCTTCTCAAATCCCTGATGTGGGACTTAGCTGTTTTGAGTAGATCCTAGGGCACTGGTTGGTGCAGTTGTTTTGTTCTTAATACGTTTTGCCTGTACTTTTGTAGAAACAGCCAGCTTGAGGATGGCACCATTACTATCCATGTGTGGCGTGCTTGATACTTTCCGGATGATTTTGTGTAAGGTTTTGGTACCTTTTACTTTTCAGAGTTACTTAGAAGGGGATGAAATAGAACCCAGCTTACTTCATAGCAGGGATAAGGAAACCTGTTGGCTGTATGCTTGTTGAATTGAACGTGAATTAGAGATGTTGGGAGAGAAAACAACTTAAATCTAATCAATGTATATTTGTGGCAAGCGCTTCATTTTTCTTTTTCCACCATGAGGGGATGGAAGTCAGGAGAGGTAGGAATAGGGTAAGAAGAAAAAGAAAACAGGGTTATTGAATCATGTTTCTCATAAAAGCTTAGAAGAGAGCAGAAAGAAGTACAGATAAGCAGGTGAGCTTTGAAAAGCTATGAATTGAATTTAGTATGTACTTAGGAAGAAACTCAAGCTTACATAATAGAGACCTGTAGTTTCATGTGAAATCCTCTTTTTCTGTTCTACTAGGTATATGGAAATTCCTTTTTGGGTGGATTTAAGTTAAGAATGAAAACAAATTTTTTAAAAAGAAATTGATACTCAGATTTTAAATTCTTGTTTGACTCATGCTTGTACAAATCATAGTGTGAGAATAGTGTCTGGATATCTTAATTGATGCTGTAGTATTACAGGAAGATCTACTGGATAGCTTTATTTAAGTTTGCTAAGGCTGTTTTAAATAGGCCAGTGATGGCTTTCCTTTCCTGCACACTGTCATCTGGTAATATCTATTAATTGGCACTTCTGCTCTTACAGTAGTTGGGGGAGGGTGGTAATGTGAAGGAGGTATAATTGGGGCTAAGAATTGAAGAGCTAGGGTGCCATGATTGGTTGGAGTTTTCTTGTTCAGAAAACTGAGGTGAGTCAGGAGGAGCTAAGATCCTGCTATTGTGTTTTTACCTTGAGTGCCGTACCCTGTTGCTCTGTAACCATCAGTCAGATCAGTCCTGACTTTGTGGTGCAACAGGGAAACTGAAGGCTGAGGGAAGAGAGCTGGAGCAGAGGAAGGTTACATATAAAGCACTTATTGAAATGATGACATTACTAATTGTTCTTGGTCCACAAATGGCCAATAAGCTAGCTAGGAGAGTGGATTGTAGCTGATGAGTAGTATACTGTTACTAATACAGAAACATAATTGAAAGTAGTTTGAAGTCTGGAGAAAGTTAAGAATACTGACAAAAACTGAAGTTTTTGGCAAAAAGGACAAAGTAACTTGGGAAAAGACTCCTTCAGGCTTGGATTCAAGAATTAAATTTGGAAAAGGGCAGCCGTAACATTTTGCCCAGGAATTAATGCATATGCCTATTCTGTTCTGCTTTTATTTGAGAGTGGGAAATGAATAAAATAAGCTAAAATAAAGTATTGATTAAAGACAAAAAAAGAACCTCCAAGTTGTCATCGTTTGTGGAAAGATTCAGCCCAATTTTCTACACTTTTGGTGCACTTCATTGATGTTTATAATATTAATGAAAATATAAATATTATAAATATAATGAGTGCTCAGAAGCACTCATTTTTTCAAGTGCTTTTGGGGAATCAAAGGAAGATGGAATTATGTTGAGTGCTTTTTACTTCATGTCAGCTCTTCAAAAATTGGGAATCTGTGTGTAATTTATATGATAACTAAGAAAATTCAATAACCAATGCCCCCTCCCCTTTGCAAAAAATAAAAAATAAAACAACTCTTTTTCTTCATTTCCTTCCAGATGACTATAATTAAGATAGTTTAATTTAGTTTTGAATGATTTATTGTGTAACAGCCAGAGAGAGGGTGAAAATAGATGAGTGGGATACTTTTAAGCTAAAGGAATGAGAAGGAATTAAAGTAAGGGGAAAATGGGAAAACAAAGGAAAAGTAGAGGAGAGGCATGACAGAGAGGGGAAAATAGCATATCAGATCTCTTGAGGGTTGGGGAACCTTTGGTTGCTTCAGTGTGCAGTCTATTTTTCTTTGTCCTTCCTTATTTATATTTCCTAGGGAAAAGATAGGTGATATTTTGTTTTGGAGATTATTAAGATACACTCTGGCTTTCGTTGAATGGCCATTAATAGGCCCAGCCGAAGCCTCTGTGGCCTATTGTTTAGGTATTGATGGTTTAGAATGAGTACAAATAGGAATTGTTTTCTCTTCTGGCCAGAAACTCTGAAGGTCTTCCCTGCCCAGATTAATATCTTTGTACCATCTTTTGCGCAGTTCATACCTGGCCCTTAGTCATTGAATGGGCACGCCCTCTGACAAACTGAGATCTGGGAAAGATCTTAATTTAAAAAGGCCAAGGTCACCCACTGCATCCTGAGCCGTGGCCAGTCTTCTTGACCTTTGTCTTGCCACATGACTCCAGTGACTCTGGAGGAGAGAGTGAGACTGATGACTATGCAGCTCTGCCTCACTCAGATCCAACTCATATGCAAGTCAAGACATCATGCTAATGATGTCATTGCTCTTCTAGAACAAAGGATAAACAACAACCACCACAAAAGAAAAGGAAACTTTCCATATGTTTAACCTGGATTGGCCTCTTAATTTCCTTATTTATCCTGTAGTGTCTCTCTGGCCTTATTTCATGAAGTTTCTTTCTGTTGCTTGAGCCCTGGGAATGCTTTTGTGACACAGCAGTGTCCACCTGTGTCTCTTCTGATGTCCTGATTGGTGGGAATTCTTTTTTCCAAGAGCCCAGAAGAGAAGGAGCTGAGATTCTACTGCTGTTTTAAAGAAGTTATGTTAGTTTTGGATTTCATGAATCCTAGATTAGGAGAAAGAACATTGTACGAATGGAGTCAGAGGTAGGAATGGATGAGGGGCAAGTGTGTGAACGGCCTAGAACTTGATACAGATCTGTCTTTTACTCCTATCACATTATACCTTGTATCATAATTACTTATTTAGTTGTCTTATCTTTACCCTTATTAGACTGACGTTGTGGACAGGGGCTACATAATTTTTCACTTCATCCCTAGTGCCTTACTTAGCATGATGCCTTGCACATAGTTGCTGCTTAATAAATATTTGTTGAACTGAAGGGAAAGGGAGGAAATAAAAGAGCAAACGTATATATGCCAGCCAGTTTGACCAAATATGAGAAATTCTAGTCTGAGGGTTTCAAGAACCAAATAACAAAAGGACAGGGAAAGCTATTCTCTGTTAGCTGACAGGGCACTACTAGGGTTGGGGGCACATCTAGGGTTCTAGAGGAAGTCTTCCTGACAGAGGCAGGGTAGTGAATTCTTTTTTTAGAGAGGCCTGAAGGAAACTGAATGGTAGTAAATTAGTTAGTGGATAAATAAGGATTTTAATGGAAAATTTGGTCCACAGGTTAAAACTGTTACTGGCAACAGGATAAGATATTTTCTTTAAGTAATAGATGGTCACTGACACATATTACTAAGACCTGGGCAAGTGAAGCTAGGGTTTTTGAAAATATGGAAAGACCATCAGATTTAGCAGGTAAGAGGTAATTTTGGAAAGAGTAATTTCATTTGGTTCTTTTTTTTTTTTGGCTAGGCAATGGGGTTAAGAAAGAGTAATTTCAGGTGAGTGATGGGGTTGCCAGCCAGATTGTAAAGGATTGAGGAGAGAGTGAGATAAGAGGAAGTGGAGACACTGAATGTAGATAGCTTTTTCTAGAAGTTTGGCTGAGAAAGGGAAGGTGATATAGGACAATAGTTTAAGTGATGGTAAGGTCTACTGAAGGCTTTTTAAGGGCGGCAGAGACTTGCATGTTTGAAGGCAGTAGGGAGGAGCCAGTGGATAAAGGAGAAGTTGAAAATTAAAGAAGGGAAGGGAATTATTGAGGTAGCAGTTATTTGGAGCAGACTGGGGAGGATGTGATCAAATGTATATGCAGGGGTGTTGGTCTTAGAAAGGAGAATGGCCACCTCATTATCAAAGACTGAGGGAAAGAAAGAGAGTTGGGAGATGATGGTAAGGGGTCTTGAGTTGAAGATAAGGGGAGAAGAGTGAGTTCAGGGTGTCCGTTTTATCTGTAAAATAAGAGATGAATACCTCAGGTTGTGTGTGTGTGTTTGTGTACATGTGTGTGATTGCACGTGCATGGAGGTGGCTTGAGAAGATAACTTTTGGAAGAGAAGGTTTGGGATAGCTTCTCTAAGGCTTGAACTAGGAATCTTTTAGGGGGAAGTAAAAGAATGACCTTGCTCTTGTGAGACCCTGTTTATGTTAGCATACATTTGTAATGACAGTACAGTTATATGGCTTGCTCTAGTTCTGTTCAAACAGTCCTTGCATAGAGAGAAAGGGGTGGAGAGTAGAAGTAATCCAGGGCTGGGGTTGGCAATAAATGAGTAGTGACAGAATAAAGGGGCAAGTGATTCAAGAGAAAAGGACAGTTTTGAGTTGAGTTGGTTAACTGTAGGGTTGAAACTGTATAGGAGGTGGGAAAAGGAAAGAGTAAGGTAGGGATAATGAGAAAGTATTGAGGTGGATAGAGGGATTGGAGGTTGTTACGAGAACCTAGAATAGGTTTAGGAAGGGAGAGATATAGTGGAGATTATGGTCAGACAAGAATAGCAGATTTTTTCTTATGAAAGAACTGGAACATTTGTGGGTAATGGTGAAATCCAGGGTATAACCATCCTTATGTATAGTTGAGGTGGAGTCTTAGAAGTAGATCATTGGATTTGAAGAGAGTTATGGAATTGGGAAGTTGGGAAGTTTGAGGACCATCAACATGAATGAATGAATCCCTGGTCTAAGAGTAGAAGTTGGGGAAGAGAGAAAGACAAGTGAGCCAGGTGCTGAACTTGTTAAGAAAGAAGGGAGAATGATCTAGAGGCCAGTATACAATAGTTGCAGTGAGCTAAAATGGTGAAAAATTTTAGTAGAGTGAACTTCAGAGAAGGAGAGGTTGCTGAGTAATAAAGGGAGGCATAAATAAACAAATAAAAAGGTGTAAATAAAAGGCAGAAGGAGTTTTTGGAAGTGGCATAGGGGAGCAAAGAGTATTCCAACTTTAAGATCAGTGTGTTAGGGTGAATTTTGCTGCAGCCAGTGCTGAGAGGATGACCAAGGATGCAGTGTCATGAGCCTCATTTCACTGAGAGCAAGTAGGAGGAGTGAGAGAGGAAGAGAATTCCAGAGGGCGCAGTGGAAGGAGTAGACAGATGTAAGGATCATGTCCTTAATGTCTCTTAACTTCATCTCAGCTTCTTGTGGAAAAGGAGTTAGGCTTTTTTTGTTTGGATACTAGAAGAAAGGATCGTTGTAGTCACAGAGTAGCAGACGTCTCAATATAAGGAAGATTTTCCAGTATTTAAATTTGTCCAGAAGTGGAATGGAAATGGAAATGAGATATTTTTCAAGTCATACTCAAGGCTATTAGATGAACCAACACTATTATATGGGTATCCCAAGTGCTCAGGCCTAAAGGTTGGACGTTGTGTTGGAGATGGCTGTAGAAGGGAAGTTTGGCCTAGATGACCTGTAAGTTTCATTCTAGCTTAGCGTCTGTGATCAACACAGGACTGATCAAGAATGGAAAGATCTAATATGAATCTGTAGAACAGAACAGACTAATTCAAATGCTGTGGAACCAGTAACATGTTTGGAGAGTTGTATATTTTTCCCTTAATAGAAAAAGTCTAGTTAAATCTCTTATTAGACTTCTCTTTAAGTGAATATTTGGGTTTGCTAGTTCTTTTTTAATTTTTGTTGATATAAACTGAAAAATCTCAATTTCCCCATGAATCTTTTATTAGCCAGCCAATTATTGTTCAGGTGACATTTTGATAATGCTTTTGGAGGTAATGAAATATTTCTTCACCTAGCACTATGTTGGACTGACAAGCTTTGATAACAGTTCTGAAGATATGATCCAGTGTTTTTGAGTACATTAGGAGTATTCTAATGAAAGTCTTTCACTTTCTATTCCTGTTTATTCAGTGACAAAAAAGAATATTTTCCTAGTTATTTGATCCTCAGTTGCTTAACTTAGAAGTTCAGTTCAGAAAGAGAGAACATTCTTTTTTAGTTGCAGAAAAAACTATTATTGTTAAAAACTGGACTATCTCTGCAACAGTCTGATGACTTCAGTGATTTCCTCTAGTCAGACCCTTAGTACAAGGGCTGCTTTTATTCAGCAGACTAAAAAGGATGTGGAAAAACTGAAGAAGATCCAGAAAACATGGCAAAGAACAAAAGGAATGGCTTATGGTCCCTGGGAAGAAAGGTTAAAGGAATTGGGACTGTTTAGTCTGTGAGGGGTAAGGGAATGGGGTGGTGTGGTGTGTGTGTGTGTGTGTCTGTCTGTCTGTCTATGTCTATTACTGGCTTTTAATGAGGATGCTAAGTAGCAATTCTGTTTTTGGAGGCTCAAACGTGGGGAAATGGGCTTTAATTAAAGCAGCAGGAGAAATTTCAATTGGTCATGAGGAAGAACATTTTGACTTTAATTGGAGTGTTATTAAAGTGGTCTTCCAAGAGGGATATAGTCTCTGTCCCTCTAGATCCTCAAGAAGACATAGATAAACATCTAGCAGGGGACTTGACAAGATAATCACTCAAGATCATTTTCAGCTCAAGAATTGTGAGATTCTGTGACCCCCTAACTAATGTACCAGCATGTTCATCTTGTCATGTCTTGAGTTTATTTTTATTCTCTTTGTCTAGAAGATAAAGATTGCTGCTCTGCGCATGTACACTAGCTGTGTGGAGGAAAACTGACTTCGAGGAATTCTTTCTAAGTAAGTGACTGCTCTGTAGTGGATATGAAAAAGAAATGGAATCGTTGTGTCTAGTAGGGTAGCTTTGATTTAAATCACTGGTCAGGAAGGCACTGTAACTGTTTCCGAAGACTATACAGTGATGTCTTTATTTATTTTTTCAAAGTAATTGAAGAAAATACCTGTGAAAGTGTCAGAGAGTGTAAATAACCAGTTCCACAGGTTTGGGAGCTATTAGTATATCATACTAGGATGATAGCAGTCATGATCCAAATGTGGCAAACAATTTCATTGTTATCTTTAATTAAAACAACAAATGAATGCATTCTGGATACTTTTCTTCAATAGATAAATATAATTGTAAAACTGTATATTTTAAATGTTTTAACTCTTGTTGAAATACAGATTGATATTTTTAGGCTGCTTCACCCAATTTAACATTAAAAAATTAAAATGTAACTTATGCAGCTAATGTAATCTATGTGTTCCTATTTGTGGCTTTCTCTCTTCCTTCCCCTCCTCCTTTATATTGAAAAACAGCTTTTTTTTTCTCTTCTTTGATTCTCACATGTTTTCTAAATATAGAATCAGTTCAAAGGGAGAAAGCATTGTTTCTATACTTGGAGAAGTAGCCATTGCTTTTAAAAACTGTACTGTTTTTACAGTAGTGCAGTTTTTGAATCCATGTGTTTTTAAGTGACTTCTACCAATTCACTGATGTGACATTCCTTAAATTGTCATCAACAAACATATATTATACATTGGTACACACTTAGCCCTAAAATTTATTGCGTTTGGTATGATGTTTCGATGGTTGCTAATTGTTCCTGTTCTTCAGTAAGGGACCCTGGATTGAATCTAGTATTGAATATTTGGGGAACAATTTGTGCTCATGGCTTATTGTGACCTGTTTGCAAAATTTTTATAACAGAGTTACATAAGTGCATACATTTGTAGTCCTCATCATATAATTGTTTTTGAGCTTTACCATAACTTAGTAATGCTACTTTATCGTAGAGTTATTGTTCTTCACTTAAAATATATTTGAATTCTGTCTTCTGACATTGTCTTTAGAACTTGGGCCCCATTCTTATGAACAACCTCAGTGGCAGCAAATATTTGTTTCTTGAGGGTGAATTTAATTTTTTGAAGTAGCCTAACATCATTATGAGTTGAATTTGGGATGAGAAATGGTTGAGTAAGCTGGGTAATAAAATTTGGGGTTAAAGATGAAGGGTTGCAAAGTAATGAGGCTGATTTTCATACATGACTTGTGAACTGGTTCTGAAGGAAATTCTAATGGAAGAGTGCCAAGAATGTTTGGAGAAGTAGCAGCCCTGTTGGCATGACAATCAGATGGCCTTTTGAAGTGATTACTTTGAAATGTACAGTTAGAGAATCTTAAAACCAGAAGAGGTAAGATAGATCAGGGTTACTTACTTACTAAGGGGAAAAACCAAAACTCTGAGGGAGGGAAGTGATTTCCCAAGGTCACATAGGAAGTGAATAGCAGAGTTGCATTAGAATTCAGATTTCCTGACTCCCAGTTAAATATTCTTGCTGCCTCCTAAAATTAAGTATGCTACCACCCACACCAAACAGTGTCAGAGGTAATGCTTTGAGTCATTCCGGCAATTATTTAGATGTATGTTTTGATATAAATTTTTAAAGTCATCTTATTTGCTTTATAGCTTCATCTCTTATATGGCTTCCTTCCCTATCCTCTTTCCCCTTTCCTTTTTCATCTTTCCTATTTCCTTTTTCTTTTTCTTTTCTTTCCAGGGATTTAGGGTGAGTACTTACTCAGAGTAGGACACCTAAAGATTTGCATATGGGTTTTAATTCTCAAATATTCACTAAATCATGATGCATTGACCTACCACAGAAAGTACGTGTTTTTTTTTCTCTCCATCAGTACTTGGTACTCTTGTTAGGATGGCCATAAACTAGAGCATTTGTGCCCTGACAAGGCAGTGTTCTAGTACACTCTTGCTCTTCCACTCTCTTCCTATCTTCATGAGTAAGCTGGCAGCCCCCAGAGGAGAAAACTGTGACCCAAGTCCAGCTCCTGGCCAGGATCCCTCACAGCCTGAGGGATAATTCTGTCTCTGAGAAGTTTGGAAGGGCTCCTGGGGGCTGCTGTTGGGAAGGTTTGAGGTAGATGTAGTAGCAGAACAGATTGTCCTTTTGAATTAGCCAAATTTCATTTTCTGGTTTAAAGGAAAGATTTCCAAGAAACCTCAGTTTCTCCCTAGGGTAGTGAGCTACCCAGTATCAACCTAATTTTGTATAGACTTGGTCAGGCTGCCCAAGGTAATATAATGTTTTAATTTTTTTCCTGTTTCTTGGAGCAGGTTCTAGAGTGTATGGGCAATAGAGAGAAGAGTTTCATTTTGTGGCTACTATGATGAATAGGATATAGTGGGAAGGAAGACTACTACCTGGACAAATCATTTATTCCCTCTGGGCCTCACATGTTTCATCTGTAAAATGGGAATAATAATGTATATTATTCCTGTCTGAAGAAAGGGAGTTGCTCCAGATAATCTCTTGAGGTCCATAGGTCCCTATGATTCTGTGCATATACACATTGTCATTGATCTTTCTTTTTCCCCCTTCCCAATTTTCTCTTTGTAAAGGTGGGCATCCCTGAAGTAACTCATGATAGCCAAGGTGGTTCCTTTTGGCAAGGCTTATTTTGGTCAGCCTGGAGTTCCCTTGACTTCCTCTCCACCATCTGAAGACCTGCTTTTTTCTATTCCCCCTAATTATTGCTCCTTTGTTATCACTTAGTGTGCACTATTATGTTTAAGTAATTACTCCGACACAGGAGATACCATCCCTGCCTTCAGTAAATTAGTGATCCAGAGGACATTGTGGCTAGGCACAGCCTTGACCACATTGAGCCTCTTCATTCTGTTTCCTCTTGTTTAAGGATAAAACTCTGCCTGCCTTCATTTAGGAGGAGGAGGTTATCTGCCAGGAGCAATTTGAGAGTTCTAAAATTGTCTTTCAGCCAAAGGTTGTTTCGAGCAGATCTGAGATTTGGCCTCTTAAAATATTGAAAGATTTGAGAGTCTGGCACAGAACTGGTTTGTGGGTTCTGGAACCAGCTGGAACCCCAGTCCAGCTTTGTCAGTGAGTGGTGAAAAGCATTCTTTTGGCTGGGCTGCCACAGGGCCAAGGGTGACAGTGCTAGCTGTGGAATACCATGCTCCTTTGTTGGTCAGGCTCTGACATCCTTCAGCTTTATTTCTTTCCCCTGGGCCTCTTCTTCTGGAAAGAATGCTCTTCTTGCCATTTGGGTAGATCCGTTGTTATCATATTTATCTCTGTAGCACTTCTTGTCATCATAAAGCCGGGTTCCATGAAGTTGAATGGGAGAAAAATTACATCTTTTTTTTCCCACTCACCTCTAACCAATATTTAACATTTCCTTCAGTTAGTTAAAAACATTTTGAGGAACAGTCCTTGGGCTTCACCAGACTGCCAAAATGATCCCTGATCCAAAAAAGGTTAAGAACCTCTGCCTTTGTTTTGTTGGGAGAGAGAGAGAAAAAAAAAAAGAAGGTTGTATCTTGCATTCTTTTTAAATTGATGTTAAGGTCTCAGGGGGTCCTTTGCTATATGGAATATTCCACCAGAAAACATTGTCTACTAAAAGCTGTCATCTTTGTATAGTACCCTATGCCTAGCATGGAGTTTTGAACATAATAAGCATGGAATAAATAAATGGTGGTTGAACCAATGAATTAATGAATTGGTCAACTTCCTACTAGCAATTAAAATATAGTAAATATGCTATTTTACACTTTGCTTTCAAAGTGCCTTCATTCAAAAACTATTTTGCTGTTGTCTTATAGGGTGCCAGATGCCTGATACATTCAACTCTTGGTTTCTTATTACTCTGCTTCATGTCTGGTAAGTGAGCCTTTGAAATAAGTTGACCACATGGGGTTTTTTCAGTCCTGCTGACTTGCAAGGTATAGACTGTAGCAGGACTGAGCATATAAAATGACGTTTGTTCAGGCTGAAAAAACTGTTCCATTCATTTTCTTAACTGGCTCCTATTAGCAGTTTTTTTTTTATTAAAGGTCAAATCATAGATTTGGAGAGAAACCCATATTTGTAGGATTTTCTCAAAGAACGAGTGCCCCAGTAAGCCACATTATCAGGGTCTTTGAGAGCCCTGCTGAGCCTCGGCGGAAAGTTCCCTCCAGCAGCTGTTTTAGGAAAGTCCTCATTTACGTAAAAGTGGTTTAAATTGTGAGAATTTGTGGTAATTTTCATTGCTGGTCATCAGAAACCTATAACAAATTATAGCGCTGACATTTATGCCTGGATCTCTACAGTGTGCACAGAGGCCAGGTTTTTGCCAGGTTTGTTGCATGTAAAAATATTTAACACCTTAAACAGTATATTTTTCTTCATTTGTGAAATCAGTAGCCAAAAAAAATCAGTTTTTCATCTAATGTTACTTTCTGTTAAAGGTCAGAAGGATATAGGAGAGACACTGAAGGTGGGGGTGGGGATTATATTTATCAGACTGCCAGATCTGGGGAAGCCAAATTCTGCAGAACTAAGTTTACTGCTCTAACCAAAGGGAGCATCTGAGGAGCTTGTGGAACTGCTGCCTTGTAAAAGGCTCCTTGTCTGAGACAGGCTTGTAGGACTGACTCTTGCTCTGTTGAGAGATTTCTTCCCTGAAATGAATCTTACCTTTTTCATTGCTGGAGCCCCTAAGATTGGTGGAGATTATGCAGCTGATAACTAGGTTAAAGGCTGTGGGGTAAGGCTCTAGGCATCAGTGCTTAGAAAGGCGACTTTGGTGTTTAGTCAGATGGCAGCGCTACTGAAGAGCCAGGTCTTAGGGAGAAATGTCTGGTGGGGGTGGTGCTTGCCAAGCGAAATCAGTGAGAAGAGAGACCACTTTATTGATATGGGTCACGGTACTCAACATGAGGCAGTGGAAAGAATTTTGGTCTCAGGAGAGAGACCCAGGTTCTAGTTCTGGAGGTTCCATAAGATAGCTGATTTTCCCCTTTTAGAACCTTACTTCCCCACTTTGTAGAGAAGGGAGTTTGGCCATTTCCTTGAAAGAACAACTATATCTCTATACAGTGTTTGATCTGAAGCCAAGGATGTGGTACTCTAAGCTGCCTCTTGGGGTGGTCTGTGCTCTGCCTGATCACGGTCTCCAGCCCATCCAGGGTGGCTTCTATGGCAGAGCTGGAGTCAAAGTGACCATTCCTGTGTTTTTGTTAGGCTCTTTAAAGCTGCCTCATCTTGGTTGATGAAACACTAAGGAGTTTACACTCCTTATGAAGTCTTAGTTGTCCTGGCTTTGATATATGTGGTTGGCCTTGTTTATGTCTTCCCTCGCTACTTCTCCCCTCCCTCCAACCCCATGTTTTTTTTTTTAACATGATGTGTTAATGAGCCTGTTGTCTATAATGCCCAGTGGCCTATATGACACTTTACAGAAATTGCATAACTAACCACATAGTCCAGGGTACCAGTACCTCTCTTCCAGGGGCTTGTCCTGTAGTAGACAAGTAGAAGGCAGGCCAGGAATTATTAGTGTTTGGAGGAGGCTCGTGATCAGATGAGATGGCTTCAGGAAGGGCCTCGCCCAGTAGGTCTGTATTTGTAGGTCCTGTGACCCTGTACTGTCCAAATGAGAAGCAGGCTTGGAGAGTAAGTGGGTAGAGGAAACCAGGCGGAGATAGCCATGTACACAGCCCCGGGAAAATGACAGCTTGCCAGCCAACAAATAAATAACCTCATTCATTTCTCACACTGCCGGCACTTGAGCGCAGCCATGCAGGCTTGATTTGTTTGGCCTCCAAGGAGAGCAGCCAGTCCAGCTGATGGCAGGGTAAGGATTCCTTCCCAGCAACCAGAGTGACAAATCTACCCGAGTGCCCACGATCTTTACACTGAATTCCAAATCCAATCTGGGCTAAGCAGCTTAGAAACTACTGCAGGGGAAAACGAAGGCCAAAACACAACTGGCATTGTCAGAGGGGCCAAGTAGAGAAGGGCAGGATGCTGCTAGCTGCCAAGACATGGCAGGAGGTCAGCTTTAGGAATAACAAGAATACTTTCCTTCCAGATTTAGGCAGAACTCAGGCAAAAAGGAGGGAATTCATGGCTAGAAAAACCTTTTACTTTTTCTAATTCTACGGAGGGAAAAGTGGTTTTAGTCTGCCCCCTACCCACTTCTATCCACCAGCATTCAGGGACTTCTGGGAGGCTTCTTTGTTGTCACATGGACATGTGTGTCGTGGAGTTGGAGTGGACGTTGTTATTCCAACAGCTAGTTGAAAGGGTTGTTGCCTTTCTTTTCTCTTACTCATTATTATTTTCAGCTCCTCTTCCATATGTGCTTTCGCCTTTTTCTCCCCCTTCTTCTCTGTGTCGCAGAGCTTTTGGGGGCTATTACAACTAGAATTGTCCATATAACTTGCTCGGTCATGAGGTGCAAGTAAGGAAGGATTTCAGTAGGTTTTTTTTTTATGTTTGCTTTACTTTGCTCCCTAAGATATTATGGAATTATATATCAGTGAAAATGCTAATTGCAGCAATTTTTATGTCTGAAAATAGACCTTATTTCCTTTATTTTTGCTTCAAAATTTTCATGACTCTTGCTTTTCACCATTATCCTAGGAACATTCATATTACTAGGCCTCCTGTGATATTATTTGCAGGTTACCATTGTCACAGCAGTTTTGGAAACAGTGATATATTCAAAGCATCAAACACTAAGTACCACTGCGTGCAAGACACTGTGCATGCCAGGGATACAGAGACTAAGCAGGAAAGTGTCTGACCTGAAGGAGTTTACAGTCTGCTTGGGGACGTACAATATACAGTAACAAGTTGAAATATTTCCTTTTCAGCTTTACTTGTAAGTAAGAAAAGCCTTATATAAAATCAGTGACTTTTTTTTTTGAACTAAGAGTTCAAGGCATTTCAGAATCCTTAGTCAACTCTTATATTTTAAAGGCCTTTATGTTTATATTTTGTAGTGTTAGGTATATTTTGAATTGTTACTTTTTTGTTTTCGATTTTTTTTTTTGTCTAGGCAATGGGGTTAAGTGACTTGTCCACGGTCACACAGCTAGTAAGTGTCAAGTGTTTGGTCTGAGGCGGATTTGAACACAGGTACTCCTGAATCCAGGGCTGGTGCTCTACCCACTATGCCACCTAGCTGCCCCACTTTTTTGTTTTCTAATTTAATTGTTAGCAGGTCACTAATAACATGTGCTTCAGTTTCCATCCTTGTAACGTGGATGGCTTAGATTAGATAAACCTTTTAAGATTTTTTTTCTTGCACTAAAGTGCAGTGCTTTTAGCATTTTCTGTTTCATTTTCCTTACTTTCTTTTTTTTTTTAAGGCAATTTGGGGTTAAGTGACTTGCCCAGGGTCACATAGCTAGTAAGTGTCAAGTGTTTGGTCTGAGGCCGGATTTGAACTCAGGTCCTCCTGACTTCAGCGCCGGTGCTCTATCTACTATGCCACCTAGATGCCCATTTTCCTTACTTTCTCTTTGGCTGGATTCAACACTATAACTTTAAGAAGCAGTAGAAATTGTGCCTTTTGGTATTAAGATAAGTGCTCAATAAGTACTTGATGAATGAACATGATTGTTGTTGTTATTGAAAACTTCCTTTTAATATGTGATTGGGAAAGGGATCATTGAATTCTTAGGTGTGATTTTTATTGTAATTTGTCAGAAACATTTTTTCCTATGGGAACCAGTCTTTGAAATATTAATATAAATGAATAGAAAAAGATATTTTGGCTTAGCAGTGTTGAGTTTATGTGCAGGTTTTTAGGAGTTAGGACAAAGGAAAGTATATGCATTTTAGATTCCTTTACAACCTAATTTATTTCAACATATTAGAATAGGACTGAACTGAGCCTTCATAGTGTTGATTAAAAAGCCAAGATAGCAGGAGATGATACTTATTTTTAATCCTCCATCACTTGGGCATGAGCTTTATGAAACATAATAATACATTAATAATACATGAGAATTGCTGAGGCCAGTTTTTCTTGTATGTAATAGGTTTTTGCTGACTTGGATGGTCACCTTTATAATTGTTAGCACGTATTTTCTTTTTAAAGAAATGTTATTTTTGTTTGGTAGCTCTTTTTTTGGAAGGGGCAGGGGTGTGCAGCTAGGTGGCACAGTGCATAGAGTGGGGCCTAGAGTCAGGAAGACTCATCTTCCTGGGTTTGAGTCTAACTGTGACCCTGGGCAAGTCATTTCACCCTGTTTGCCTCAGTTTCCTCATCTGTAAAATGGGTTGAAGAAGGAAATAGTAAACCACTACAGTATCTTTGCTAAGAAAACTCCAAATATGGTCACAAAGAATCAGATATGATTGATAAAACAACTGAACAACAGCAATATTTAATTTTTATATTACTTTTATTTCTGAATCTTTTCTCCTCCCCTATCCAGACAGCTATACTTTATAATGAAGAATCAAAAAAGAAGAAAGAACAGTTCAACAAAACTAACCAGCCCTTTGATCAATTCTAATACTGTTCATAGTGTTCCATATCCATCTCCTCCCTCTTCAAGTTGATGGATTCACATGACGCATAGTTAATTTTGTTCCAATCCCTCATTTTTATTCTGTTGGTGTCTTTGTTTTTCAGATGTGTTTCTTGTAATCAGATTACAGAGTTTTGTTTTCTTATCTAATCTATCACTCTTTTTTGTATTATTGGATTGTTTGATCCATTCACATTTAAAGTTATCAGAGCTAGGTTTATATTTCTCTCCACTTGTCTCTAATACTGGTTTTTCCAAATTAGGATTTTTTTGCAACTACTTCCTCTGTAAAGACAGTACATTATCGTTTCAATTATTTTAGCTTAATCTACTTTAAAACAATGCTATTCT